GCCCTGGAAGGACGGCTGTGTCAATGAAGTGGGTGAGCGGTACCAGCCACCCATGATCAGGCACCCGACCCAGCAGGGTCTGCAAGCTCAAGATCTGGGCTCACATACCTGCTATTTGCTTAAGGACCACCAAGAAGAAGCCGTTTTCTTTCTCATATATACATATAAATATATGTATATATATATATATACATATATAATTTTTTATATTTATATTTATATTTATATTTACATGTATATCTATTTATTTACTTTGTTCATTATTACTAGTTTGTTTTTTTGGGGGGGGGGTTCTTAAACAAATAGATGAAACGCAATGCGACAGGGGCTTATGGAGCTGAGAAGTTGGAGTTCATGCTGCGAACTCTTATAGCACCTTTTGCCCTAAACCCTAAACCCTAAACCCTAAACCCTAAACCCTAAACCCTAAACCCTAAACCCTAAACCCTAAACCCTAAACCCTAAACCCTAAACCCTAAACCGTGGTACAGAAGATGGCGGATCACAAGGCGTCTTGCGCTTGTTCTCGGAGATGTGTGGCTTTCAGAGTTCCGATGCTTAAGCTTGGGTGTGGGCCCTTTAATGGTAACTCCCTTTGTGGGTGCCTATTTTTCTCATTCTGTTCTACAGTTGGCAAAGTGGATTTCCCAAGAAGGCCTACGGTACACGAAAACCCGAAGCTGTAGACCCTGAACTTGGGATGTTCCCCCCTAGACTAAATAGGGATTCTAAGGAGGGGTACTATAATCCCTATTAAGGACTGTTAGAAAAAAGGGGAACATATCCAGGTACCCTAAACCTTAAACCCCAAACCCGAAACCCTATTCAGGCCCTGAACCCTTAAGTGTCCAGGTTCTTCGGTGCCGGCAGTATAACGGGAAGAGGTACTGACACAATGCAGACCCTGAACACTAGAACGTAAACCCTAAACCCCAAACCCCAAACCCCAAACCCCAAACCCCAAACCCCAAACCCCAAGCCCGAAATCAGAAGCTTCCCAGAACTTTCGTGGACCAATGATTAGCCTTGTTCCCCTTAGAAAACTCAGCCAACAAGGATGGGCCCCAACGCACATCCGGATCTGCAGGACCGCGCGTGCTCGGTGTGTTCGGTGGGGGTTTAGGGTTTAGGGTTTAGGGTTTAGGGTTTAGGGTTTAGGGTTTAGGGTTTAGGGTTTAGGGTTTAGGGTTTAGGGTTTAGGGTTTAGGGTTTAGGGTTTAGGGTTTAGGATTTAGGGTTTAGGGTTTAGGGTTTAGGGTCTGGGGTTTCGGGTTTCGGGGCTCGCAGAGTGTAGGGTCTGTACGGGCAGCACCTACCAACCCCAAGACGTTACAGGGCTCTTGTTTCCCAAAGCCCCAAGCCTGCGACCCTAAACCCTAAACCATAAACGGCCTTGACCCTAAACCCTAAATTCCCCCCCCCCCCCGCCTCCCCCCTCCCAACCCAACGCCCCAATTTTTCTCACATAGAGCATCCTATCGCAAGTGTAACCTAAGCAACCCTAAAACCCGAAAACCCTAAAGCCCTAAAATCCTTAAAACCCTAAAACCGTAAAAAAAACCTAGCACCCTAAAACACCCTAAAACCCCCTAAAACCCTTCAAACCCCCCCAAAAAACCCCAAAAAAACCCAAACCCGCTAGGACTTTTCCCTCCGAACCTTGGTCGAGAAGCGGATGCAAGCGGGATGCTGCTGGAGCTGCAAGCAGTAGGATTTGGGGTTTCTAGGTTTAGGGTTTAGGGTTTAGGGTTTAGGGTTTAGGGTTTAGGGTTTAGGGTTTAGGGTTTAGGGTTTAGGGTTTAGGGTTTAGGGTTTAGGTTTTCGGGACTGCGAGGAGGAAGAGGACTGGGCGTTCAGTGCCATCTCTCTCAAGAGTTCTTCTCCCTGGGCCCTACAGCTCACAACCTTTGAGGGTGTGGGTAGTTATTTCGGCTCCTGCGTTGGTTGTGACCCTAAACCCTAAACCATAAGCCTACACTCTAAACTGAATATCGGACAACCCCCCTACATTCCTAAACCCTAGCCCTCCTCCCCCTCTCATGAGCCGTTAAGCGGGAAGCCCTCTCGAATTTGAGAGTTGTGAAGGACTTTGTGGTTTAGGGTTTCGGGTTTTGGGCTTTCAGGTTGCCGGTGCGAGGGTTTGAAGCTTAGGCTTTGGCGTTTAGGGTTTCGAAGGTCAGAAAGGTAAAGTCTGAGAAGAATCCGCAAGATATGCATGTATTGATAGGTATATATATATATATATATGTATATATATATATGTGTGTGTACATAGACATGTTCAGATACACGACACTTTTTGCCAGGTCACATAGGAGAGGGCTTTATGATCTAGATTTAGGTTTTTTAGTTTGTGCAGCCGTGAACTGTAACATTGCACTGCTTCGTCGCTTGCCCACAGACCCCGAGTTGTAGAGCGCACAGGCACTGGCCGTGAAAGGAGCGTTCATGTTCTGAAGCGGCTTCTGTGACCACAAAGCGTGACCAAGATACTCTGCAGCAACGAGGGCTGCTTCTGACCAGAGGTGTCCAGCAACTTGTGGGCCTTTCAGTAGTTACCAGCCCTACCACTGGGAGGGGCTCGAGCCAGAGCTGGGATGAAGTCCAGAGCCATGAGATGTAAGTGCTTGAACACCTACGCTCCTCGGAGAGTGCCCCTTAAACCTGAAAATCCTAGGTCCTAAGCCCACGACCCCAACGACCTGTCTTTGAGGTGACACGCCGGACTTTCAGAAGAAGGCGCTGGCATGGGCCTGCGTAGCCGGATCATGTTGCGGAGGGTTCTTTCGTCAGCTTTGCTGGTGAGAGCCTAGGGACCGGGACTCTTCCCTGTTGCTGCGCTTGTGAACCCCATGCGACATTGGGATGCCTGCGGACTGTCGAGTTTGAAGGCTTGGGGGAGTAGCTCAGGTTCTACTCAGGATCAAGCCTGGGTCTATTTGTAGTGTTTTGTACTCGGCATGAGAGCCAGAATGGTTGTCTTGAAGTTGGAGTAGCTGAAAAAGCGATGCCCTAAGCACTCGAAGTTACATCCTTTTCAAACGCTAAGGCAGAGTCGTAGGCAGAGCTCCCCAAGCAAGCCGACTCTAATCCTGCAATAGCCCTGCATCCCCTCAAGCACTACGGAAAATCACCTAACCGCCACCCTAACACCCTAACACCTTCAACCCCTAACCCCTTAAGCCCTCCCCTCCCCACTAAAGAAGAGAAGCAAAAACTGAACGTGCTCGAAGGTCAAAAGCTTTCCGATATATCCCACGCACACACCACCACCACCAAGTGCGAAAAGCCAGGAGTCCGAGCGGACACGCCTGCTCAAGAACTCTCGGCCGGGGCCCTTCGGGGGTTTAGGGTTTAGGGTTTAGGGTTTAGGGTTGTAGGGTTTAGGGTTTAGGGTTTAGGGTTTCGGGGCGCCCTCTCCCTTTGGGGTTGGCGACTTCCAGCCTTTTGGGGTCTTCGAATCCAAGATAAACCCGATCTCGGAGGGCGTAGGGCTTCGATATCCCCTTGGGAGTTTTTTTTTTTTTTTTTTTTTTTTTTTTAAATTTTGTTTTCTTACTTTTTGTTTACATAAAACCCAAGAGGATATTAAACATATTGTTTTTTTTTATTAAGGTTCTAAGGGGAGTATCGACATAGGGCCCAGTTCTGGCCTCCTGGCTCGAAGGATTCCTGGGGCCCTCAGCTCCAGAATAGAGGTGTTGAGCCTCGGACAGAGGGGCTTCGAGACTCGAGGTGGGCTCTCGCTGTCCTGCGGTTTGCGTAAGGCTTGGAGGTGAGGGAAGTTGAGGGAAGCAAGTCCTTTTTGGCTCTTTTTGGGGGTGGTTGAGAGGGCTTAGGGGCTATCTTCTTGGGCCAAAAGCCCCCTGTTAACCCCAGAGTCGGCACGATTCGTATTCCCCTTCTGAAGGGTTCTCGGGTTCCCTTAGAAGATCTTCTCAACCTCTGCAGGGGGAGAAACAGAAAAGAAGGCACGACCCGAAACCCGGGCGAAGCACCCTGGGCGACCTAAAGAAGCCCTGTAACCCATCCTGGGCCTGCGCTCCTGAAGATGGTTTGGGGTTTAGGGTTTAGGGTTTAGGGTTTAGGGTTTAGGGTTTAGGGTTTAGGGTTTAGGGTTTAGGGTTTAGGGTTTAGGGTTTAGGGTTGAGATCTTAATGACCCGCGCTCGCTCCTTCCCCCTTTACCCCAGTCGTCTCGAAGACCGAGTCGGCATTTGGAGACGGAGGCAAACGCCTTTAAAACCCTAAAGCACGACTCCCCAAAATCCTTACCCTAATCCCCGAACCCTAGAACCTTAAACACTAAGCTCGAAGCCCCTTCAAGCCCCTATTTAACATAGGGGTGGGAATATTTTCTAATCGCATTCCCTCATAGTCCCTGTGTGCGTAGACTAGAATCTCCCCAAAAACCTAAACCCCAAAGCCTAAACCCTAAATCCCACAACCCCAAAGCCCAAAACCCTAAACCCTAAACCCTAAACCCTACTTTAATTATGAAGGGGGCCCCCCCTCTTGGTGAAAGGCTGATCTGCGCTACACTGAGCATCTCCGGGCACCGGGACATGGTGGGCTTCCCCGAGGATGGTCCTTAGAAGAGATTTCGGGTTAAGGGTTTGGGGTTTAGGGTTTAGGGGTTAGGGTTTAGGGTGTGAGGGAGTTGGCTTTCGGGGGTTTCGGCAATTGGTTTACGTCTTTCTTGCTGTAGCGCGTGCCGGGTTTGACTAGATTCCCCATGGCATTCCTGTAGGATCCCTATATATGTGAAACCTACTTCGTTCGGGTATACATATATATATATATATATATATATACGTATACGTATACATATACATATACATATACATATACATATACATATACATATACATATACATATACATATACATATACATATACATATACATATACATATACATATACATATACATATACATAATATGTCTATATATTATATATGCATGCACATGTCGATATACATATATATATATATATATATACACATCTGTGTGTGTGCCCATACATTTTCGTTGGCCCCCTCGAAACCGGGCTTCGCCGCAAGGACTTCGACACCGTGGTCATCGATGAGGCCGGCTTTTGGAGGTTAGGGTATTGGGTGGTGCGGTTCAGGGCTTGGGGTTCAGGGTTCAGGGTTCAGGGTTCAGGGTTCAGGGTTCAGGGTTTAGGGTTTAGGGTTTAGGGTTTAGGGTTTAGGGTTCAGGGTTTAGGGTTCAGGGCTTGGGGTTCAGGGTTCAGGGTGCGACATGAGCCTCAATCGTTACCAAGATTTTCCCCTCAGTACTATGATTACAAATCACCACGCAAGTTTCAAAATTTAGTAGGCCCTTACACTTAGTTTCAGCTTCAACTTCTAAAGAAGGTTTCCCTTGTATTCCAAGGTTAATGAGGACCAAGACTCCAAAACAAAGACTTTCTAAACATACGGAGTAAAATCACCAAACCCTGAACCATGTACCCTTAGGAAGATCAGATTATTGCATGGCATTATTTATGATATCTTAGTATGATATGATTTGATGTGATATGGTATGCTCAGATCTTAGATCATATTTGTTGTGCTCCGAAGTTATACCCATTTCACCTTATGCAAATTTAATATCGTGTGATACTCAGTTGTATCATACAACAATATGACGATCTGACTTCAACCTTAACACCAGGTCACATAGCCAACCCCGAAACCCTAAACCCGAAACCCGAAACCCGAAACCCCAAACCCCAAACCCCAAACCCCAAACCCCAAACCCCAAACCCTAAACCCTAAACCCTGAACCCTGAACCCTAAACCCTAAACCCTCAGCCTTCGTCAAGTCCCTCCGAGGCCTCTCAGGGCGTCGAGGTCTCGACGCTTGTGCCGTTGAAGCTGGGATGCAGGCGCCTCTGCGATCTCCCTAAGCCGTGCGTGTGGGGGTGGTTTAGGGTTTAGGGTTTAGGGTTTAGGGTTTAGGGTTTAGGGTTTAGGGTTTAGGGTTTAGGGTTTAGGTTTTAGGGTTTAGGGTTTAGGGTTTAGGGTTTAGGGTTTAGGGTTTAGGGTTTAGGGTTTAGGGTTTCCGAAATCAGGGGGTGCCTTCTTGGGGTCCTTTATGACTTTATGACAAGGGAATCCTACTTTTTGGGGGGGTCGATATTAGGGGTCCTCTTATTTTCGTCAACTCCCATGTGGCCCTAGACTGTACTGGTACCTACTGGGGGCTATTTGGGACCTCCGCGCCCTTGGTCTTGGCGGCCCAAGAGGCGGCTGATTCTCGTGGGCGATCCGGAGCAGCTGCCCGCCACCTGCTTCTCCGAGCAACTGGGCGACACTTGTGGGTTTCAAGCTCTTAGGGCCTTAGACCCTTCGACCGCAAAACCCAAACCTTATGAAACCCCACAACGCCAAGAATAAGGTTTGCAGGTATTCTGGGGGGTTTCAAAGAGTAGGGCTTCAGTTGCAAGACCTTGGAAGTTTTAGACTTTTGGAGGGGGGAGAGGGAGAGGATGCTGTGTTGATAGCTCCCAGATTTTTGCAGCAGCTGCTTTGCAAAGGGATCCGAATATAGCGCCATGCCCCCGCACCGAGCATTGTCATGTTGAGTCTGCTCAGAATCGAAACATGCCTAGAGCCCGAACGGCTCGGGCCTCCAAGCTGTGCACCCACAATCCCCAAGCCTGCAAATTAGTCGGCTAAGGAGCCTGTAGAAACCGGGGATGATAATCCATGATAGTCCCAACATGGTAGGAGAGAATCCGTCTTGATACCGTGTGCCGAGGATTGCCAAGGCCCGGCAGTGTTGGAGAAGCGCCGACCGTGACTTTTGGGCCCTAAACCCTAAACCCTAAACCCTAAACCCTCAACCCTCAACCCTCAACCCTCAACCCTAAGCCTTACACCCCAAACCCGGAAAAGAATTTGGCATTCGGATGTAGTCTTAGGGGTTGAGAGAGTTGTGAGCCTGGCCGACCGTGCAACTCAAGCAACCACAGCGCACTGGCCTCTGAACTGCAGCCCCGCACCCAGACCCGGTTTGGGAGTTTCGGGTTTAGGGTGACCCGGTTTAGGGTTTAGGGTTAGGGCTTTCGACCTGACATGTTCGCAGGGGGGTTGGTTGAGTTTGAGGCTCTTGGAGATGCAGATGTAGGCCCCTGCATCCTGAAGCCTAGGGTCCCTGCATCCTGAAGCCTAGGGTTTAGGGTTTAGGGTTTAGGGTTTAGGGTTTAGGGTTTAGGGTTTAGGGTTTAGGGTTTAGGTTTAGGGTTTAGGGTTTAGGGTTCAGGGTTCAGGGTTTGGGTTTAGGGTTTAGGGGTTTAGGGTTTAGGGTCGACCCTAGACCCCCCAAGTCACTAAACCGTCTGAGCTCCTAAGCCCCCTTTTTCCAGCGTACCTTTGGGGGCCCCGGAACCCGCAGGCCCACCACTACGACCGCAGCCTTTTCCAGCGGCTTCAGCAAACGCAGTACAAGGCCGCGACGGACGCCCAGGGGTTGCCCTGTCCCCTTGTCGTTATGAGGTCAGGTTCCCCTAGCCACAGCTCTAGGACACAGGGGTATGTAGCAGCTTGCAGTAAATGCACTACAAGGCCTGCCAATTCCCCTTGTCGTTATGAGGTCCGGTTCCTTGCATGGAAGTAGTGTCCTTGGTTGTGTTGTATTTAATGCTCCTTTGATTCTGGGCTCCGAGTACATGAATGTAGCCCTAAACCCTAAGCCCTAAACCCCAAACCCTAAACCCTAAACTCTAGACCTTAAACCCTAGACCTTAACCCCAAAACCCTGAACCCTGAGACCTGAACAGCCAAGGAGGAGATGCTTAGGATGCAGGACTCTCTGTCTTTGAGCCACCCTGCCACTCCTCTCAGGCTCTGATTATACAAGATTCCGCACAAAGATATGATGTGTGTATATATACATACACATGTATACTTATATAAATATTATAACACTATATATATATATATATATATATATAATATTGTAATATATATCTATATATATGTACACGAGCACTTTGGGTGGATTTCGAGCAGCCTGCAGGTGAACATGCTGAATACCCAGTACCGCATGCACCCGGACATCAGCAAGTTCCCGTCTGCCAACTTCTACGAAGGCATCTGGGCCTAAGCCCTAAACCCCAAGCCCTAAACCCTACACCCTGAACCCTAAACCCTACACCCTAAACCCTAAGCCCTAAACCCTAAACCCTAAACCCTAAACCCTAAACCCTAAACCCTAAACCGCACGGAGGGTCTGAAGCTAGAACCCCCAACTGAAATCCATCGAGGTTTTCGCAGTGGCGAGGACGTCTTGTGGTTACCCCAGCGCTACATAGGATCTTTGGCCAGAGAGGACACAAACGCCCAAACCTGCAAAGCCAAATCCTAAACATCAGACTCTGCCAGGATTCCCCAACTTCTCACGTGTGGCACATAGGGTTTAGAGGCTCTGCCTGCGCTTTGCGCGGAAGCTGAACAAAATTGAGGGCATCAAGAGAGCAGTTCGCTAGATTTTCGCGGGGCAGCCATGGACCGCAAGGCTGCCTGACATGTCTCTCTAAACCCTAAACCCTAAACCGTAAACCCCAAACCCTAAACCCTAAACCCTTTTGTGCTTGGTTTTTTTTTCACAGCCTTGTTTTCCTGGAACAGCTCCGGATGCGGACCCATCATAAGAGGAGTGAGGGGAGCCGTAAGGGGGGGCGTCCTTTCTCCCCACCTCAGCGGGGGCTTCCGAGGCGGAGCTTCGGATTTTCGGAGACAAAGGGGCGGGGGGGCTGTCTGGAATTTGCACGCAGCAGGCTCCGGTGCCGGGCCGTCATGGGTTTATTCGTCTTCCTAAACCATATATATATATATTTATTTATTTATGTGTATATATATATATATGTATATATATATATTCTTAGAGTAGTGACTCTATTCACCCCCTCCCCCCCACCTCCCCCTCAAGCACCAGAAGTTTTCAGTGCTTAGAGGGAGGGCTTAGGGTGTTGAACTCGGCCAAACCACAGGAAATCTGCTGAACTTCCGCGACAAGGAGGCGGGGATTCTTTCGGCGAGGGTTACTGCTGGGTTTAGGATTCTTCCTCTTTGGGGTTTAAGGTTCAAGGCTCTGGGTTGGGGTTCAGAAAATTCGTGGGGCCGGGGGCCGGTTGGGGTTTGTACAGCGGCTGTTTTCTCAACTCGCGTGGTCAAGAATATTCAGATGTCGTAAGGACCTTCGACACGTTCGGTAGCGACTACAGTGGGGGGGCCCCCTTCGGAATTACTGGCCTGAGCCCGCGTTGTACTCGGCCCAAAGAAAGTTCAGAAACATAGCCGCTGGCAACCCAAAACTCCTAAATCCCCCGCCTCAGATGCTCCCCGAAACCCAGTGCCAGGTTCGGAGATCCGTAGAAAAGAAGCCCTGTTGTCATCTACCAGCAAGGGGGCGCCCTTTCATTTTTTTCAAGGCTCCTTGAAGAAACTGACAAGGTCAGTCCTGAGTTTAAGGTTTAGGGTTCAGGCTTAGGGTCTAGGGTTTAGGGTTGGGGTTTAGGGCTAGGGTTGAGGGTTGAGGGTTTAGGGTTTAGGGCCTAGGGTTTAGGGTTTAGGGTTTAGCGAGCGCTCTCAGAGCGCGATGCCCCATACTAGGTTCTTGTTAAGGAGAAGGTTTAGGGTTTGGTATACAATAACATAACGCTTTTCTGGCCGATCAAGCCAGTTCCTCGCGCCCTAAACCCTAAACCCTAAACCCTAAACCCTGAACCCTGAACCCTGAACCCTGAACCCTGAACCCTGAACCCTGAACCCTGAACCCTGAACCCTGAACCCTGAACCCTGAACCCTGAACCCTGAACCCTGAACCCTGAACCCTGAACCCTAAGCCACAAACCATGATCTTTTGCAGCGTGCTTTCACGGATATGATGCCAGAGGGTCTTGGAGACCCTGAGAGCTTGAACCCGTCGACCCTAAACCCTGAATGGCCCTACAGCTCTTCATAAGACTGCAGCCCTACAACCGCGCACCCCTAAGATCCCCAAAAAGCCGCCAAAACCCTAAACCCTGAACCCTGAACCCTTCACCCTGAACCCTGAACCCTAAACCCTAAACCACAAACCCTGAACCTTAAAGCATAAACCCTAAACCCTAAGCCCTAAACCCTAAACCCGAAACCCTAAACCCCAAACCCCAAACCCCAAACCCTAAACCCTAAACCCGAAACCCGAAACCCTAAACCCGAAACCCTAAACCCTAGACCCTAAAACCTAAACCCTAAACCCTAAACCCTAAACCCTAAACCCTAAACCCTAAACCCTAAACCCTAAACCCTAAACCCTAAACCCTAAACCCTAAACCCTAAACCCTAAAACCCTAAACCCTAAACCCTAAACCCTAAACCCTAAACCCTAAACCCTAAACCCTAAACCCTCTCTTACTATGTATATTTAAACCCTAATGACCTTCGTGACCATGTTGTTTTTTTTTCTGGGCCCTAAACCCTGACCCCCTTCGTGACCAAATGTTTTTTTTTTTCCTGGGCCGTGCCTCCAAAAACACCCCAAATGAGGGGGACCCCAGGATCGGCCCGGGTCCCAGTTCAAAATGCGATTTTTTAGTATTGAAATCGACGCTTCTGGGTGGGCTCTCGTTTTCTGGATTTTTGATCAAAACCGAGCCTTTGGGCCCTAAACCCTGACCCCCTTCGTGACCAAATGGTTTTTTTCCACCCGGGGGGGCCCTAAACCCTGACCCCCTTCGTGACCAAATGGTTTTTTTTCCACCCGGGGGGGGCCCTAAACCCTGACCCCCTTCGTGACCAAATGGTTTTTTTCCACCCGGGGGGGCCCTAAACCCTGACCCCCTTCGTGGGCAAATGGTTTTTTTCCACCCGGGGGGGGGCCCTAAACCCTGCCCCCCTTCGTGGGCAAATGGTTTTTTTCCACCCGGGGGGGCCCTAAACCCTGACCCCCTTCGTGGGCAAATGGTTTTTTTCCACCCGGGGGGGCCTAAACCCTGACCCCCTTCGTGGGCAAATGGTTTTTTTCCACCCGGGGGGGCCCTAAACCCTGACCCCCTTCGTGGGCAAATGGTTTTTTTCCCCCGGGGGGGGCCCTAACCCTGACCCCCTTCGTGGGCAAATGGTTTTTTTCCCCCGGGGAGGCCCTAAACCCTGACCCCCTTCATGGGCAAATGGTTTTTTTCCCCCCGAAAGGCTCCCTAAACCCTGACCCCCTTCGTGGGCAAATGGTTTTTTTCCACCCGGTTGGCATTTGGGGCTCGTAGGGTTTGGCATAGGGTTTAGGGCTAATTTGGGTTCTAAACCCTCAATTCTGATGAAGGGCCGCCCTCGCGACGTTTTCACAGCCTAGTTTTGGTCAAGGGGGGTCGTATTTTCCAATTTTAAAGGCAAAATGATCTTCGGAGACCCCCCTTTGCCTCAAACTCCGACCCCCCCTTGAGAGGGAAAAGTTTGCCTCCAAAAACACCCTGAATGAGGGGGACCCCAGGATCGGCCCGGGTCCCAGTTAAAAATGCGATTTTTCAGTACTGAAATCGACGGTTCTGGGTGGCCTCTCGTTTTCTGGATTTTCGACCAAAACTAAAGGGCTTGTTGTGGGCCTTAGATTAGATTTCGGGTTTTGGGTCCGTTAGAAACTAAAATATTTTGGACCAATTAGACTTTGAGCTTTAAGCCTACCGGAAAAGTATTGAGTGAATTTTATATTTTCTCAATGTTATGGGTTTCTTGGATGGGTGGGATTTTTTTCCAATGCTTGACAAGCTGCTCGACTAGTGAATGCTCGGACTTGAGATGCTGAACCCTAAACCCTAAACCCTAAACCAAACAAAAATCCCTCAAAGCCCAAAGCCGTACTGATGTGTTCGAGGCCTTCGAGGCCGCCTTCCCCACCAGTTGGTCGCACATTCCGTGCCAGCCCACAGGCTTTTAGGGTTTAGTTTAGGGTTTAGGGTGTAGGGTTTAGGGTTTAGGGTTTAGGGTTTAGGGTTTAGGGTTTAGGGTTTAGGGGTTAGGGTTTAGGGTTTAGGGTTTAGGGTTTAAGGTTTAGGGTTTAGGGGTTAGGGTTTAAGGTTTAAGGTTTAAGGTTTAGGGCTCAGGGTTTAGGGTTCAGGGTTCAGGCTTTAGGGTTTAGGGTTCAGGGTTTGAGGTTTAGGGTTTAGGATTTTGGGTTTAAGGTTTAGGGTTTAGGGTTTTAGGGTTTAGGGTTCAGGGTTTAGGGTTTCGGGTTTGATTAGGGTGGAGGTTTCTGGTTCGGGGCTTGTCGCATGAAGGGAGTTCATGTCGTTTCAAGCGGATCCTACTGTGATCTATCGGTGGGAACGCACAAGCGCTTTTGCAATATGGATGTGCGCTTGAAAGCCGATCAGCCTAAACATCCCTAAACCCTTAAACCCCTCTCAGACAGCTGGAAGGTGTACAGACCTTTAAGGGACTGTGGGGAGGGGGGTTGAGGGTTTAGGGGTTACACTGCATTTGCCGGGTCCTCATCCTGCACCCTTGTTCTAAGTCGCGACAGAGACTCATGTGGTCCGTGCATGGGCTGGACTAAAGGGAGCTTGGATTTTGTATTTCAAACCCCCCCAAAACTCTCATTCAAAGCAGCCTCCAAACCAAACGACCACCCCCTACATCTTAATTTCCAAAAGCTACTCCGCATCTCTGCTGCACCCTAAATGGAGGGTGTTCTAAATTCTAGGGCAGGTTACCTCCTACATTCATGTTACCTTGTAGAAGCATCCCCCCCCCCTCCCCCCCTCCTCCTTTTTCACCCTCAAGCCTACATCCTCAACTCCTTACGCTAACAACCCGAAAGCCTAAACCAAAAGGCCCCCCAAACTAGGATGCCCAGTAGTACCCTGATTCCCCTTTTGGAGGCTTAGGTTCCCTTTGAGTAAAAAAGGGCACCTTTTTTTAAACTTAGGTAACCCTAAACCCGAAACCCGAAACCCTAAACCCTACACCCTAAACCCTAAACCCTAAACCCTAAACCCTAAACCCTAAACCCTAAACCCTAAACCCTAAACCCTAAACCCTAAACCCTAAACCCTAAACCCTAAACCCTAAACCCTAAACCCTAAACCCTAAACCCTAAACCCTAGCTCAAATGTAGAGGCAAACGCCCAAAGTCATGCTGAGGTGCCTGGCCCCGGTCGCCTTCTTTGACCTAAAAGGCACCCGAAGTTGAAATGCATCTCTCCAGGTCCCCGGTAATTTTCGATTGAGAGTTTAGGGTTTAGGGTTGAGGATTTAGGGTTTTGGGTTAAGGGGTTGAGGGTCTTCCTGCAGTTTCTGCCAGGGAAAGCTCTTTAGGGGCTCGCCAAACCCTAGGTTGCTCCTCGGCAAGGTATAGGATTTAGGGGTGGTTCGGGCAGGGTCCTTAGAACTACCCTGAAATGTCAGGGGGACCGTCCAAGGTCCTCAGCTCTCGTAGATGCTTCGCACTCCACGCCTCTGGTTTAGCATTTAGGGATGTCTTGGGTTTAGGCTGCAATCCGAACCCCACCACGCCACAAGCGTGTCATGAGGATGATGGTGTTCTGGGGCCAAGTCGGGTGTGCAGGCTTGCGGGCTTAGGGTTTCAGGTGAAAAGCCTTTAGGGTGTAGGGGTTTCAGGCGAAACTGTGAAAAGGCCTTTTGCGTTTTCCAGGTTTCTGTGCCTGATTGGGCCACTGTGCCAGGGCGAGGGTTTTGGGATGAATCGGGGTGTAGGGCTTTAGTTATGGACTTCCTGGCTTAGGGATTCATTAGGACTTCGGGCTTTTGTTCAGTCTTGGGGTATAGAGGTCACATTAGTGTTTTCGTGAGGTTGTCGGCTTACCCTCGGGCAGGTACGATGCGCGAGGAGTCTAAGTCCTACGTGAACGAAGACGAGGCAGCATATCTTTCCGCGCCATGTGGTTTTGGTTGGCCATGTGCCGTGAAGCATAATCTCTCCGTGCAATCTTTGGGACGGGGTGCATGGGGGGCAGGTACCTGGGGAACCTTAGGGAAGCTTAGGGAGCCTTAAGGAGTAGTGGGGAGTATTGTGGCACCTCT